TTGGTGGAAAATGTAATGAGTATCGCTAAAACACTTCATATCAGCCTTGTCCGTTTTACAAGGTTGTGTAGGTATGTTGGTGGAAAATGTAATGGAAGTATCGCTAAAACACTTCATATCAGCCTTGTCCGTTTTACAAGGTTGTGTAGGTATGTTGGTGGAAAATGTATTGGAAGTATCGCTAAAACTGTTCAAAAGGTTTCATACCCGTGGAAATTATGCTGAATTTATTGAGTTTAATCATTCTATTTTTATTCTGTACCGATGACACATTTCAGCGGTCGCAATCACCTCTTCTGAAACTGACAACACACTATGTCGAATGTTGTAGCGATGTTTGTATCGTAATAGTAAATAAATGTCGAATGTTGTAACGATGTTTGTACTGTAATACTATAAAATGTCGAATGTTGTAGCGATGTTTGTACTGTAATACTATAAAATGTCGAATGTTGTAGCGATGTTTGTACCGTAATAGTAAATAAATGTCGAATGTTGTAGCGATGTTTGTACCGTAATAGTAAATAAATGTCGACTGTTGTAGCGATGTTTGTACAGTGATAGTAAATAAATGTCGAATGTTGTAGCGATGTTTGTACTGTAATACTATAAAATGTCGAATGTTGTAGCGATGTTTGTACCGTAATAGTAAATAAATGTCGAATGTTGTAGCGATGTTTGTACCGTAAAATATAAAATGTCGAATGTTGTAGCGATGTTTGTACCGTAATACTATAAAATGTCGAATGTTGTAACGATGTTTGTACCGTAATGCTATAAAATGTCGAATGTTGTAGTAAATAAATGTCGAATGTTGTAGCGATGTTTGTACCGTAATACTATAAAATGTCGAATGTTGTAGCGATATTTGTACCGTAATATTAAATAAATGTCGAATGTTGTAGCGATGTTTGTGTATAAAATGTCGAATGTTGTAACGATGTTTGTACCGTAATAGTAAATAAATGTCGAATGTTGTAGCGATGTTTGTACCGTAATACTATAAAATGTCGAATGTTGTAGCGATGTTTGTACCGTAATACTATAAAATGTCGAATGTTGTAGCGATGTTTGTACCGTAATAGTAAATAAATGTCGAATGTTGTAGCGATGTTTGTACCGTAATAGTAAATAAATGTCGACTGTTGTAACGATGTTTGTACTGTAATACTATAAAATGTCAAATGTTGTAGCGATGTTTGTACCGTAATACTATAAAATGTCGAATGTTGTAGCGATGTTTGTACCGTAATATTATACAATGTCGAATGTTGTAGCGATGTTTGTACCGTAATAGTAAATAAATGTCGAATGTTGTAATGTTGTATGTTGTAGCGATGTTTGTACCGTAATAGTATATAAATGTCGAATGTTGTAGCGATGTTTGTACCGTAATACTATAAAATGTCGAATGTTGTAGCGATGTTTGTACTGTAATACTATAAAATGTCGAATGTTGTAGCGATGTTTGTACCGTAATAGTAAATAAATGTCGAATGTTGTAGCGATGTTTGTACTGTAATACTATAAAATGTCGAATGTTGTAGCGATGTTTGTACCGTAATACTATAAAATGTCGAATGTTGTAGCGATGTTTGTACCGTAATATTATAAAATGTCGACTGTTGTAACGATGTTTGTACTGTAATACTATAAAATATCGAATGTTGTAGCGATGTTTGTACCGTAATACTATAAAATGTCGAATGTTGTAGCGATGTTTGTACCGTAATACTATAAAATGTCGAATGTTGTAGCGATGTTTGTACCGTAATACTATAAAATGTCGAATGTTGTAGCGATGTTTGTACTGTAATACTATAAAATGTCGAATGTTGTAGCGATGTTTGTACCGTAATACTATAAAATGTCGAATGTTGTAGCGATGTTTGTACCGTAATAGTAAATAAATGTCGAATGTTGTAGCGATGTTTGTACCGTAATACTATAAAATGTCGAATGTTGTAGCGATGTTTGTACTGTAATACTATAAAATGTCGAATGTTGTAGCGATGTTTGTACCGTCGAATGTTGTAGCGATGTTTGTATAGTAAATAAATGTCGAATGTTGTAGCGATGTTTGTACTGTAATACTATAAAATGTCGAATGTTGTAGCGATGTTTGTACCGTAATACTATAAAATGTCGAATGTTGTAGCGATGTTTGTACTGTAATATTATAAAATGTCGACTGTTGTAGCGATGTTTGTACCGTAATACTATAAAATGTCGAATGCTGTAGCGATGTTTGTACCGTAATACTTAATAAATGTCGAATGTTGCAGCGATGTTTGTACTGTAATACTATAAAATGTCGAATGTTGTAGCGATGTTTGTATGTCGAATGTAATACGTAATATATAAATGTCGAATGCTGTAGCGATGTTTGTACCGTAATACTTAATAAATGTCGAATGTTGCAGCGATGTTTGTACTGTAATACTATAAAATGTCGAATGTTGTAGCGATGTTTGTACCGTAATAGTAAATAAATGTCGAATGTTGTAGCGATGTTTCTACCGTAATAGTAAATAAATGTCGAATGTTGAAGCGATGTTTGTACCATAATACTATAAAATGTCGAATGTTGTAGCGATGTTTGTACCGTAATACTATAAAATGTCGAATGTTGTAGCGATGTTTGTATCGTAATAGTAAATAAATGTCGAATGTTGTAGCGATGTTTGTACCGTAATACTATAAAATGTCGAATGTTGTAGCGATGTTTGTACCGTAATACTATAAAATGTCGAATGTTGTAGCGATGTTTGTACCGTAATACTATAAAATGTCGAATGTTGTAGCGATGTTTGTACCGTAATACTATAAAATGTCGAATGTTGTAGCGATGTTTGTACCGTAATACTATAAAATGTCGAATGTTGTAGCGATGTTTGTACCGTAATACTATAAAATGTCGAATGTTGTATGTTGTAGCGATGTTTGTACCGTAATACTATAAAATGTCGAATGTTGTAGCGATGTTTGTACCGTAATACTATAAAATGTCGAATGTTGTAGCGATGTTTGTACCGTAATAGTAAATAAATGTCGAATGTTGTAGCGATGTTTGTACTATAATACTACAAAATGTCAAATGTTGTAGCGATGTTTATACTATAATACTATAAAATGTCGAATGCTGTAGCGATGTTTGTACTGTAATACTATAAAATGTCGAATGTTGTAGCGATGTTTGTACCGTAATAGTAAATAAATGTCGAATGTTGTAGCGATGTTTGTACCGTAATACTATAAAATGTCGAATGTTGTATCGATGTTTATACCGTAATATTATACAATGTCGAATGTTGTAGCGATGTTTGTACCGTAATAGTAAATAAATGTCGAATGTTGTAGCGATGTTTGTACTGTAATACTATAAAATGTCGAATGTTGTAGCGATGTTTATACTGTAATAGTAAATAAATGTCGAATGTTGTAGCGATGTTTGTACCGTAATAGTAAATAAATGTCGAATGTTGTAGCGATGTTTGTACCGTAATAGTAAATAAATGTCGAATGTTGTAGCGATGTTTGTACCGTATTACTATAAAATGTCGAATGTTGTAGCGTAATACTATAAAATGTCGAATGTTGTACCGTAATACTATAAAATGTCGAATGTTGTAGCGATGTTTGTACCGTAATACTATAAAATGTCGAATGTTGTAGCGATGTTTGTACCGTAATACTATAAAATGTCGAATGTTGTAGCGATGTTTGTACCGTAATACTATAAAATGTCGAATGTTGTAGCGATGTTTGTACTATAAAATGTCGAATGTTGTAGCGATGTTTGTACCGTAATACTATAAAATGTCGAATGTTGTAGCGATGTTTGTACTGTAATGTTTGTACTATAAAATGTCGAATGTTGTAGCGATGTTTGTACCGTAATACTATAAAATGTCGAATGTTGTAGCGATGTTTGTACCGTAATAGTAAATAAATGTCGACTGTTGTAGCGATGTTTGTACCGTAATACTATAAAATGTCGAATGTTGTAGCGATGTTTGTACCGTAATAGTAAATAAATGTCGAATGTTGTAGCGATGTTTGTACCGTAATAGTAAATAAATGTCGAATGTTGTAGCGATGTTTGTACCGTAATACTATAAAATGTCCAATGTTGTAGCGATGTTTGTACTGTAATATTAAAAAAATGTAGAATGTTGTAGCGATGTTTGTACCGTAATACTATAAAATGTCGAATGTTGTAGCGATGTTTGTACCGTAATACTATAAAATGTCGAATGTTGTAGCGATGTTTGTACTATAATACTATAAAATGTCGAATGTTGTAGCGATGTTTGTACCGTAATACTATAAAATGTCGAATGTTGTAGCGATGTTTGTACCGTAATACTATAAAATGTCGAATGTTGTAGCGATGTTTGTACCGTAATAGTAAATAAATGTCGAATGCTGTAGCGATGTTTGTACCGTAATAGTAAATAAATGTCGAATGTTGTAGCGATGTTTGTACCGTAATACTATAAAATGTCGAATGTTGTAGCGATGTTTGTACCGTAATACTATAAAATGTCGAATGTTGTAGCGATGTTTGTATCGTAATAGTAAATAAATGTCGAATGTTATGGTACTATTAATATGTACAGTAATACAAGTTAAATCTATATATCTAATATTGTACGTTATAGCAATAAAATTTGTGTCGAATATTTTAGAGACTCGTACTACAATACCAATAAGATTTTTGTCGAATGTTCGCCCGTGTTACATTATTTATTGGAGGTCCAGAGGGCGTCAACTGTTTTGTCGATACTTTCTCTGAGTGTGATATTTGTTATGTAATAATGTTAATCTGGGTTTATGATGACTTCGTGGGTAAGTTACTCGGAAAAAGATGAAACCTGATAACACGTGTTATATTTCTGAACTTCCTATCTTGATTAATTTCAGGTGTGAACAGGTGACTCACGTATTACATGTAATACATCAACTCTGCTGATTCAATAACTAACAAACGTCATTGCTTATCATTTATAACTTTTTATTTGTTCAACTTTGAAGTTTGAGATAAAGTCTCTTATGTACACAACAAAATAGACGCTATTCTGGAGCAATTCTGGGTAACATGAAAAAACAATTTACTATCAACAATATTTGACAACATATGTTCGTAGACACATCCAGTACTCCCAACAACTGTCAATACTCTCCTAGATAGCTGTCAGTACTCTCTAGATAGTTCAAATCCTGTATTCTAATGAGAACTGTTTTCTGCTTAATAAAAAATAGAAATACAACCCTAGTGAGACAATAAACAATAACGGCAATGCTAACAATAGGTGGAACACATTGTGTTCTAAACTACAGCCTAAAAACAGTGTCAACAAACGCTTTCAAAATCAATGCCGACTGGGAGTTTTAAAGAATATTTTGTAATAATTTCAGATATATAGTTATCACATCTGTATGTATTTAGATGGTGTTCCATAGAATTAATGGTACTTACTGAGATCCAAAAATTGAACTTGAAACTTTGAAATACTAATACAAACATGCCATGTGATTCTAGCCATTTTCACGACCTTAGCAGGCCACGATATGTCCAATATCAGGACCTAAGGAAATCAGGTGATATGGCGACACTGTAAATTCTACCTTCGTCATAAAAATCTGACAACAAACTGTCACTGGCAAACGAAATTTAAAAACGAGTTTTTAACTCTGAATACTACTTATGTAATGACACGGAGAGGCTTCTTTTACCAAGCCTTTTGTGATATCTGATGAAACAATACAAAGTTACGTCCCTTTGTTCTTGTTTAAATAGGGTTCTTGATTGCTGCTGCCTTTTGCCTTTCAGGCGAAAATTGATAACTAATCTTACTGATTTTACAAATGATATCTATTTTACACAAACCATGAATGACAATGTGAAAGGTGATTTTTACAAATGGAAATTATTTTCTTTGTTTCTGAGTAGAAAAAATCATGTGATGTGATCCCCAGTAAGTCTCGCGCCGACATCGTACAACTACTTAGTCCGAGCTTACTGATGTTCATACCACAGAAAACTGGTTGTCAATCAGGAATGTTCACATTACATGTATTTTAGCTATCAAAATATCCACTGTGATGCAGTGTAAAGGAGTCCAATATTTACAAATGAATTTCGAAATGAGATGAATATCGTTTCATGAGATGGTTAACCAACCGGCTTTTAAAGCTGAATGATGCCTATTAAAACATGACGGTCAAGTGATTTGGTCCCAAAATATATGTCTCGCTACCTCCACAGCAAGTCTCAACAACACGGGTCCCCAATAACACCGTGTTAACACACCAACAGGGTTCCATACAACACTGGTTCCCACACCACAGGTCCCGTAACACGGGTTCATCCATCACAACACGGGTACCCAAAAGGGTTGCCACACCAGGAGTCCTCTCACAGTCTCTACAGCATGGCTCCCCGTCCACGGTCAATAATAGCACACAAAAAAAAACTTGGACAACGAAAGTAAACAACCGGCAGTCTTTCCCGGCTCTCTCTCCTCCTTGACTAACGAAATTTTGGTACCATTTCTGTTAGTCAACGTAACCGTATCTACAAGTTCCAGTTTTATACTGGGTCATTAAGACAGCGGGATAAGAATGACGGTTATTTACGAATTGCACCATAATTAGGTTACGTATATCACAGATACGGCACAGGTTCAGGCAGGTCACGCCCACCAACCTGTCAATCACAGTCAAGCACGACAACTGTCATGAGTTGTCGTCCTCATCAACCACCCAACCCCCTTCAAAACCGATAACACACTTTATTTTGTCCTTGTGTACCAGTTAGACAGTCACATGATCACTAATTCATCACTAACAGTCATCAGTCACAGCCAAATAATTTATGTTTACATTATATTTGTTCTTCTTTCGAGAAATTTAGTCCACTTCACATTCCATGGTACCGTCAGCTAACGCGGTCTTCAGAACCTGTCTCCATTCCGACAAGTATGGCGAACAGGAAATGGTCATGTGACCAAGACGCAGATATCCTGTAAAGAGGAAGTCACCATTGCCATATTGTATTCCGCACTGGCGGGGAGCCATCATAGAACCACGAAGAGATTGGTCCTCCCGGAAGTAGGTAAATAGCTGACCTTTCTGACGTATAACGCGAGTAACTTCTACATCCATCTGTGAACGGTCAATATCATCCAAATGTTGGACGGCAGACATCTTACCAGTTACCACTGTAAAAATTAACAAATGTGTTTGTTTAGAAATTACGATCACAATGTGATGACTATAACGCTTCCTTGATAAATAACTAGAGAACTAACCCCATGACTTTGCTGATAGAACAAAAAAATGTAAATTGTAATTTGTTAAAGCTTAAGATTCCGTAGGCAATGACCATGATTAGAGTACCGTTAGAGATTGAACTTCTTTCAAATGACCTTAACAAATCCGTTCAATAAAAATACGCTTATAAATGTTCAATATGAAAAACGTTTCCAATAATTCATTTGGCTTATTTCAAGACTGTGGTAATACGAGAGCGCCCGACGGAGCATGCGTATTGTTTGTTTGTGACAAGCTGAGATGTAAACAAATATGAGACATACATTATCCGCCACCCAATACAACCGATCCGATCAACCTGTCCATGATCCACAAATCATACAACGACATTGTACTCACGGAATTTTTAATTTAAACATGCACAATAGCGCCCTCTGGGTGCTGTTTAAATTATTCTATTAGCTTGTCTCACGCGCTAAATGTAATTTATTTCTTACAATACAAGATATTCTGCCCTTTCATCATCTCAAATCAAATAGCTATTTTCTCGTGACTGAAAAACTCCCCGTCATGAACCAAAACCCCCACCTCTTTCTCTTTTCACCCATGAAGAACGAGAAATTATGTTTAAACCCGTTTGGAAATCCTCGCTTCTAATCGTATTGTTTATGCTTAGCAAAATCAAAACAAACTACCACCATTTGGTTGACAATAAGAATTCAACTGTATTTCACGATTTACAACTGAAACAAATTAAATATAGCGATTGTCTATAGTTAACATACATTTTTTTTGTAGATGCGCATTTTTTTACTTTAGCTTGTTCAGACCTGGAATTCATAATTTCGATTTTCAAAAAATACCATTTATTACGCGTCATTTCCAAATAACACGTCACTTTCCAATAACATATATTCTAATTCATAAGATTGTAAATTTTACAACAGGGATATCCCCTGAAAACTACCCTTCCCAATAATACACATTTTCTAAAATGTCACTTTCCAATATCAATTTACTTCCAAATTTATCGATAATAACATTATACGTTACTTACCGAAATCACTCGAACAGTAGGCTCGGACGAGCTCCTGGGGATCGCACGGACGACATTCTGAAAAGAAAAAAAAAGTTTTTTACCATCTGCAAGCGCTCTCGCGAAACACGAACGAGGTGAATTAACAAGCATTGTCAGCTAGATAAAATATTTGTCATAAGCATATTGTGACTTGTGTTTTTTTTTAATTATTTATTAGTATAAAACGACGGGATAACAAACTATATGGGTGTCTAATGTGTAGCATCAAGCGTGCAGAACAACGGGGACGTGATCGAGTTACCAATGTAGCCAAGAAAACACCTTAAAATCAGAATTTGTTGTACAGGAAATATTAAGCCTTATGGTCAGTGGAAGTCCTCTCCACATCTGGGGTAGACAGGGGGGATACCACACGCCATACTGAATATATTGTAGAATTTTACATTGTGCTTATTTTTTTGGGGTAGACAGGGTGATTTGTACTTATTTTTGGGGGTAAACAGGGGGGCTACCACACGCCATACTGAGTATATTGTAGAATTTTACGTTGTACATAATGCCGCGACAATGTGGTATCTGTACGGGTAAGCCGACCGATGGCCTTGCTTTATGAAACACTATCCGCCTGTCCTTAGATCCCAGTACATCATGACAACTCCGTCATTTATTCTGACTACTCATCCATAGGAAACATTTAAATGGAGATTTTTCATTTAAAAAGTGAGTCTAAAACCTTCAGACAAAGGCGTCGAACCACACTAAATCCTGTATCACATACATGTTCCTCAAGTTTACCGAGTACTTGTTTGTTAGCACGTGAGCGTGTCGGCGGTGCGTGAGGAGAGGTGTGGTAAAACGTACATGTCTTGATCCGTGACATAGTCATCACAGCTAACACTAAAGTGTACAGGGTATCATCTTCTGGTGTGTTTTACTACTCTGTGTCTCGCACAAGATCTAAATCACAGATGCTGTTGCTCACCATGTGTCTCCGCTATGCTGGAATCAGACCCGAAAAATAGACTTACACCGTTTTAACAGACTTTTATAATATCATCCAATGCAATGCCAAGACAACCAACATCGCGGAATTGTAGGCCATCTAATTAACGATGACGACAATCGAGCAGACGGTCAAAGAGATAAAGTTTTAGTGATATTTTGACATGTATAAAGACTCAAATCCAGTAGACAAGTATTCGACCCTGGACCAAAAATAACGAACCAAGCCTACAGCCGGTGGTTAGTGGCCACGAGTGACTGCGACTTAAATATATAGCAGTTATATAATGGAGTGTCGTATGTGATCTGTCATTGACAATTTTTTTACTTGAGACTTTCCATATATAAAATGGCGGATAATAAACACAGATTACTATTTGTATATTCATATTTTACTGATTATATCAAAATAAAAAGGGGATTCCATCGAGATATGTTTAACACAAGCGAAGTGTACAACATATAGAAGTTTGAAATTGATCTGGTGTCCCGCACGGAAACACGTGCAATGCGAACTCAGTGTCTATAATAGTTGACGTCTTAGTCAAGTCAAACCACCTAACTAACACCAGCTCCGACAGCCACCAGAACTCCCGAGTGAGAGCATTTCCATGTCATTAATATTCACGGGTCAGATAGCGCGCAACACGACTCCAAACATGTGTTAATAATCATTTTTATTCAGCATTCAATAAATCTATCCTCGCCATACAAACGCCTTTCCTCACCTACCTAACATTTTGAAGTTGTTTTCTCCTACAGCCGAGATATCGTAATTTTCTGATATTGTACGGTAGTAACAATCGTTCTAAGACCGAAGTACTTTCGGCTGACTTAGTAGCTACGCACGTTTAAACCCGTAGGAATGTGGTCCCACTGTGAAACTATTCACACGAGCACGCGTTTGAATACCCGTGTGGCTTTTCTTTTTTCTATTCAATCAAATCGTCGTGATTGTGACGGATAGAATGAAACTTGTATCACCTTCTATTGATCGGCGCTTGAAGAAAGGTGTATAGAGTTGGCGATGAAAGGGCGCACCGTCTGAGATATGATTGGGCCTACTAAAGCCGCAATACCCTACACTGACGTCCCACTCAAGCATGAGATGACGGGGACATGTCGTAACAGCGATATGGCGTAACAATGCCCCTATTGACGATTTGTATGCTTGTTTATGGACCTCACACCTTACGGTGGACGGGTTCGGACAGGAATCCGCTTGTCCTCTCGTGAACACATCAGGTGCCACTCTCGGTAGACAATCACTGACGATAATTACAGGTTAGCTGGGTGACTAGAGACCTACCGAGGCCAAGGTCTCACGTAATCCGAACCAAGAAAAAGGAAAGCGGCTACCTCTGTATAAAAACATTAGTACGAGTTTCCTTCGGGAAATGTAAACAGGCTCTTTAAACTAGCATTATCATTAGATGTGATACTGATTTAGCAAAGTTCAGTTCGCCAATGTTATTGGCAGCTAGAATGTCAGCAAGTTGACAATCAAATGTGTACCCCAGGTGACAAAATCTTACCTTCCTCCATAGGGTTGAAGAACAATTTGTTTGATCGAATAGGCTCTATGACGTAATGGAATGTCACTTTCTGCACACCCAAATGATATGGCAGTCGTTCTGTCTCTAAGTATAGTAACACAGATGGGTATGACGGTGATGAGGGAATGCAGATTTCTTTAGTCCTGTTGACAGTTATAGCAACACTATGCAGGTATGACGATCGACGACCGGATATCTGTTTACCGGAAGTTACCATAAATTCCTGGGACACTTTTACTGCGATATTTGTAGCGTCCACGGCAAAGCATGCCCGGAAATCCGAAGTATAGCCAGACTCCAGCTGCACACGCAGACCCCCGTTTGGATTTCTCCATCGAATAGAGCCTTCGTTACAACGAGGCTTGATGTTCCGCACACCTCTCTCCTTGTAGCCCTCACTACAATGATAAGGAAATAAATCATTTTATTATGTTTTTTTATAGATTATAGAAGTCATACTGGCCTACAGACATATTTTGAGAACAGTACACACACACAACCCGACACAGACCTAGTGAAATTCATTATCATGTCTAAGATAAAAGAACCAAGATCGACATTCTGTCAAATGAACAAAAAATTGAAATGAAATATTTTTGCTATATGACTTTCGATATCACTACACGCACAGGGCAGTGCGAGTCAGACAAAGTAACCGATAGACGGTTCTCGCTGGTGATGTGATCCCCAGGTCTCTAACTTGGCCATCAATCCTACCACGTCAGGCTTGTTATCGGCCTAGATTTACATACTTGATTTAAGGTTGAAAAATGATACTAAAAGTGAATCTTTCTTCGCGGAACTGTTGACGAGGGTTGTGTTTCTTATTTTTTTTTGTAGAGATAAGTATCTACAGTGGCACCAAGTCTGGTCCGGGAGATAAGGAGGTACGGACACGTGTAGGGAGGAAAAGGGCGATTTAATTCTAGCACAAGCTAGCGCGACCTAACCCTTTATAATGTAATGCGCTCTATAGCAGCAATATTATCAGCGTCAAGATTTTACTAGTGTTTCATTTTAGTTTACAAATAAATTCAATGAATTACGCGTGGATACGTATTCATTCCGTGAGCGCCTCGTTATCGTGTCGTCCATCTGGAGATAACAAGTTACTATGTCAATAACACGCTTGATTACCTCGAGATGCTGGGCAAAGATCGAAAGAGTACTACCGACCCTGAACAGATAACGTGAAGGATACTCAAGTATAATAACAGCAAAGTTAGATAAATGACATGTAATCAGCTAAAGAGAACAATGTTTAGATAGCAGGTAAATCCTGCCTATCGCCCATTCCAGAGTGTCCGTGCACAGCAGGGTTACAGAAGCGTTTTCGTCGTTTCTTCCTATCCTTAAGCGGTCATTGTAATAACCAGTCCGTGCCCACCAGACGTCTGTCGGATTTACCTGTCATAGATATTTCTAAGGAATATTTAAAAACTCATTTAAGAATTTATTACACTCTATTTCAAAGCCCGTAAACCATGGCACAGTGTCTTTATTACTAGATATTGTTACAAGTTCCGGTTTGTCGACAGCACGGATATTTGCGGTTCTAAAGTCCACTGGTCCAACCACCCCATGTCCGTGACAGGTACACTTCCATATTTCCGGACAAATATACACGTCAAACCTGGGTATTATTATCAGACACAAAAAGCCAAAAACATTGCCTGTACCAATGATAGACACAAAGAAATATATGTCAACAATGAGAAGTGGTCAAACGACCACTGCTACAATTCTTTCCCGTCTTTAGCATGGAAAACGTCAACGAGGGACATTGATTGGCAAATAAGGTCAATCCAAAAACGTGTTGTAATTAATGGTATTGCTAAATTTGACTGCTTCTCAAGTTCAAAGATTTAAATAACATTGAAAATGAATGTGTAACAAAACGAGAGAGAATACATTTATAAATACCGACCGTGAACAATCTAACCCATGGACATGCAAACGATACCGGAAAAATACACCAAACCCTCGCTGATCCTTAGTCACTTCCACTGAAACTATTAATCTGTTTCTAGTACCTGTTACAGACAGGTCACGATAATCCATAGTGCACTTCCGCTACAACTATATATCTGTTTCTAGTACCTGTTACAGTCAGATCACACTAATCCTTAGTGCACTTCCGCTGATACTATATATCTGTTTCAAGTACCTGTTACAGCCAGGTCACGCTCATCCTTAGTCACTTCCGCTAAAACTATATATCTGTTTCAAGTACCTGTTACAGCCAGGTCACGCTCATCCTTAGTCACTTCCGCTAAAACTATATATCTGTTTCAAGTACCTGTTACAGCCAGGTCACGCTCATCCTTAGTCACTTCCGCTAAAACTATATATCTGTTTCAAGTACCTGTTACAGCCAGGTCACGCTCATCCTTAGTCACTTCCGCTAAAACTATATATCTGTTTCAAGTACCTGTTACAGCCAGGTCACGCTCATCCTTAGTCACTTCCGCTAAAACTATATATCTGTTTCAAGTACCTGTTACAGCCAGGTCACGCTCATCCTTAGTCACTTCCGCTAAAACTATATACCTGTTACAGCCAAGTCCATGTATATATGTTTCAAGCTGTTACAGCCAACACATTTACTGTTTCACCATCCTAAAACTATATATCTGTTTCAAGTACCTGTTACAGCCATAGTCACTTGCTAAAACTATATATTGTACCTGTTCGGTCACTTCCGCTAAAACTATATAGTGAAGTCACTTCCGCTAAAACTATATATCTGTTTCAAGTACCTGTTACAGCCAATCACTTCCGCTAAAACTATATATCTGTTTCAAGTACCTGTTACAGCCAGGTCACGCTCATCCTTAGTCACGCTAAAACTATATATCTGTTTCAAGTACCTGTTACAAGACAGCTAAAACTATATATAGGTTAACCAAATTAACGCGACAATGATAACGAATGATTGCTTTATAACCACCCAGTGTTGTTTACTAGTAACAGAGGCAGTTTACTAGTAATCATGTTGTAAAATTAACAAATTGGAGTTTCAGACATGTAAGTGTTATACCTAAATGCCATCAATGTTTCTTAGAAAGTTTTCTGAGAATTTGTTACGTCCTATAGGATAACGACAGTATCGTCACGTAGCTCGGGGCTGGTCGCTGTACGAAACCCAATATTTATCACGAGACTCGTCGCCTAAGGGGAACCACGTACATGTCATTTCCGCATTTTAAAACCGGATACTTATGGTATATTAATGATAGATGTGGTCGCCATACGGAAACCTGCTTATATATATCAGATATTAGTTATGGGGCTGGTTGTCTTACGAATACCCGATACATGAAGTAAATTAACCATGAAGTTGGTCGCAGAAAGAAACCCGATTTATAAAGGATATATATAGACGGATCTGGTCGCCTTATGGAAACCCGACACTAATAGGATATAAATAACGAGGCTGGTTGCCTCATGGAAACCTAATACTTACAGAATGTTAATGATGGGACTGGCCACCTAACGGAAACTCAATATATGTAGGATATTAATGATGGGACTGGCCACCTAACGGAAACTCAATATATGTAGGATATTAATGATGGGACTGGCCACCTAACGGAAACTCAATATATGTAGGATATTAATGATGGGACTGGCCACCTAACGGAAACTCAATATATGTAGGATATTAATGAGGGGACTGGTCGCCTCACAGAAACTCAATATATGTAAAATAAGATGTTAATGAGGGGACTGGTCGCCTCACGGAAACTCTATGCATGTGACAAATTAATCATGATTACACGAATGGTCCTAGATTTTGATTTTATACAAAGCAACATAATATTTTTGCTATGCTACTGTTACACATTGTCTTGTCTTTGATTCTTCTATTCAGCTTTGGAATTCGACCTGAGGACACAGGATACACTTAAACACTCCCGACATTCTGCTCCATCACTCGGTACAAGTACAATGGTTGTTGGTGCACAAAATTATCTTTTTCAAACTTAGTTTTAAATTCTCTATGCAGAAAACAAATGTTCTTTAATCCCTCTACTGTCGTATCTGATTTGTCTACACGAAGTGTGACCACTTGTCTGTATGTTTGTCAGGAATGTCTCCTGAACATTATACAAGGACATGTAGTTTGAAGAAACAAGTCATGTTTATAGCAAACTCGGGCGTTATTTACAAGTGGTTGTCACCCAGCAGGTTAAGTACATTGGTCCACAGGTAAACTTGGCTGTACCAGTGGATATATAACACAGCTATACATGTAAATACTGAAAGTCACAAAGTTACCCAATTAAAATCATCAAAAGGTTGGAGTTTTTTTAAATTGCGGCCTAGTATTGACACACAGTTTCGGCAGTGATTCATATATCGGCAAGTCATCTACCCGGGAATGTTAACACGGGTACTAATGGGACGTAATGGGGCTGGGTTAGTCGTCAGAACAACACATTAGTCTCCCTCAATAGGTAATCGACATTGCTCTCATTTTTACTAACAAAAAATCGTATGGTTAGGAACTTTGACTGACACCGAAATAATCATTGTTTTTTAGAAAAGTCCTACTTAACTTGCTCTAGGCAATTAACATGCTTAATTACGCTCCCTACCTCTAACAATAAAGAGAAGGGAGTGAGGTCCGAGAGACAAGATGGCTCACAAAGGAAAGACGAGGCCTGCCTTATTTCTGTTTACATTATTTCATTTGATTTAAACTTATTTTATTGAACAATTTCATTGGGTTTCCGACTTATATCAAGCCATTTTCCCAATAAGTTTGACAAAATACACAATGGCAAGACATAACGACATGTTTAAATACAAAATTACACACAAAATTACACGGAGAGAGAGAGACAGACAGAGAGAGAGGAGGGGGAGAGAAGGGGAGAGTGAGAGAGAGAGAGAGAGAGAGAGAGAGAGAGAGAGAGAGAGAGAGAGAGAGAGAGAGAGAGAGAGAGAGAGAGAGAGAGAGAGAGAGAGAAAGAGTTATATAATTAATGTTTTTAAGCGTAAATCAGTCTCTCTTAAACCGGACAACACTAGTATTTCATGACATTAACTGCAGCCTATTCTATCCAATAGTCTTATACTACGAGTACATTTGTCAATTGCAATAGTGTTCCTTCATCTCATAAATTAAGGGATTAGACATTGTACAAGTTCACGAATCCAGTCGTATGTAATAAATTAAGAAAACTCATGTTGATCCTTCATAATGGCACTGACGAATATTGTTTTCTCTGGTCCCGATATTTACACTGACCACCCATACAGACTGTTGCCTCTCTCCTAATTCATTCTAGGGCGTGACCCCGCGATTTTCTGACCTTCTGGTTAAATGAGGCTGGTGATCGTTGGCCCAAAAATATTTATTATCGTCCATAAAAAGAAAGAGTTGACACTTAACACCAGCGTGTATAACGATGCCACGCGGGTCAGTGACGAGGTTCGTAGAAAGCGGTATTAACCGGCACACAGAAAAACGCGGGACAGAGGAAGAGTAATGGAACCCAAAACGATTCCGCTTACAGATTATATCCTCTGTTCAACTTTTGTAATTACTGGCTACACACGAGCTAATCCGTGGTTTGTACTTAACCACTACAACGTTGTAATTTTGGCAATGAGGCGAAGAAAAAAGTAAATGTCTCTTTCAGTAATCAAGTATGACGAGTTGCAAAGTCACCGAGAATAAGTGATAGGTTTGTCTGAGTAATGTTTAGATCGGGTGTGCTAGTTGTCACGGCGGTATCGGGATTATCTTACAAACAATACGTTTCTTGGCATAAGCAGATTAGAGTAAAATTTAATCCACATAACGACATTTAATGAGAGGAATATTAAAAGTTGGTTTGAAATACTGTAAAATGCGTGTATATCTTCGTGTCTAATTATATTTCTGACGCGCCCCCTTATTTTGTCTCACAAATAGCCTTGTGACTCTTTGAGGGACAAGAAACCAGTACCAGATAACCCTGGCTTTCCCACAGCCACAGGAACCGAGATCCCGCCACAGATATGGAGATGTCCACCAATGTCAGAACCAATCTCCTCGACCATAGCCACTCACTGCAATACTGATCAGTCTGACGATTCATTGAAGTAGTAAATAAATTACCATCCCTTGTCCCGAGGCGAAGTCCCTTGGGGAGAGGGTTTACCAGTATGGTATTACTGACGGGCTGGGAACAGGTACAGCTGTCATCAATGTACGGTGCTTCATATACACATAAACACCCCAAAAGGCACTGTGAGAAAATGTAGACCCCAGATAAATATCAGTGCGTGTACGGCCCTAACCAGCTGTGGAATATCAGCCCAAGACACGGGGAGCAACACTTCACAGCCTCCAGAGCAGGCCAGCAACACTCGTAGTAACAAACTTCTATTTTATTTGTACAGAATAACGACTTACAGTAAACAGTAAGCAAATTAAACTGTAAACATTACAAATTCTAATCCCCTAGGCGACTGTGTCGTAGATTCCCAGCCGTGTGATCCAGAGATATGCACTACACAGATAGTGTCACTCCGCCTTCTAGTTTAAAAATGTAACATGTACATTACAAGCTTTCTCTGGAGACGACGATTAGCAAAGAAAGTAACAGGTCAGGGTGCATACTTGTTAACCACACGAGAGAATGGAAACAATGATAAAACATGCGTTACTCTGAACATTCGACACATACGGATACTGTTCTAAATATTCTACCAGACATACGGACACTGTCCTAAATATTCTACCAGACATACGGACACTGTCCTGAATATTTGACCAAACTTAAGGACATGGACCCAGAATTATTGACCTGAAATTCGATCAGATGTCAGGAAACTGACATGAATTTAGGAGTTTATGATTAAGGAGTGTTACGAAACATGTGATTTTTTTAAAAAATTTCGTTAAGATCACATGTTTATATGTTATAAGACCAAACGGAGTCGGGATTGGCTGAAGGTTCCGGTTTTTTTTATTGTGGCGTCATCACGGACATTGAACCAGATGATGAATTTAATGTGACGTCATACAAGAACTTAAATCGCTTTTTTTTTGCAGATCGTTTCCAAAAGTATTCAAGTATGTGATTCACAGAATCACACGTTCTTTACAAGTAATTTATGAAACTCGTCATGAATGTTTCATTTTACCTCGCGAGACGCCCCGTAAAATTTAAAATGATTGAATCACGTTCGTAAATCTGATATGAAATAGAAACATAAAATATCCTCTATTTTACAATCTGCCATAACTCTCGTTTGATCATTACACACAATTATTCCAATACTTTGAGTTTGCATAAATACGTGGACACAAAATCAGGACACTTATGAAAATAAAGATGTCACTGAAAAAGGGACATAAGAACGATACTGACATAGCGACACACGATAAAATGGCGTTCCTGAAATAACACACGATATAAGGACGTCACTGAAATAACACACGATATAACGACGTCACAGAAATAACACACGATATAAGGACGTCACAGAAATAACACACGATATAAGGGCGTCACAGAAATAACACACGATATAAGGACGTCACTGAAATAACACACGATATAAGGACGTCACTGAAATAACACACGATTTAAGGACGTCACTGAAATAACACACGATATAAGGACGTCACTGAAATAACACACGATTTAAGGACGTCACAGAAATAACACACGATATAAGGACGTCACAGAATTAACACAAGATATAAGGATGTCACTGAAACAACACACGATATAAGGACGTCACTGAAATAACACACGATATAAGGACGTCACTGAAATAACACACGATATAAGGACGTCACAGAAATAACACACGATATAAGGGCGTCACTGAAATAACACACGATATAAGGACGTCACTGAAACAACACACGATATAAGGACGTCACTGAAATAACACACGATATAAGGACGTCACTGAAATAACACACGATATAAGGACGTCACAGAAATAACACAAGATATAAGGACGTCACTGAAACAACACACGATATAAGGACGTCACTGAAACAACACACGATATAAGGACGTCACAGAAATAATACACGTTATAAGGACGTCACTAAAATAACGACACTTGATGTATTGATTGAAACAACTAAACGTGATGGGCCAATGTTGAAAAGATCGCCATTTCCGGAGACACTAGTAGAAGGAAGAATGATACAAAAGAAATCAACTCATGATCGGAGAAATAACTACACATTAACATCATCTCATATTCTTAAATCGCGCGAATTCTAACGAATGTGTGGACTCATATTGATACATTGGAAGTTGATGAAAAGGAGCTTAATACGTACTCAACACGCGCTTCTATCGGATCAAACAGGTTTCCGAGATTAACACGGTCCTTTACACTTGTTAAAACTAATTTGGAAGCCAGAACTAGGATCTACAATAGCTTCCCTGGGAGTTGGCGATGTCAGCCCGATAAAGCCCCAACCCTGATCCCACTGAAGCCCTCTCGACATTTCCCCGATTTAATCTTTTCTAGTCAAAGTACATTAACACGACCTGCATTGCTTCTGCTGGGAGTAAAGAAACCGATTATTTGCGCTAAACACAGATCGACAACTAACAAGTGTGACGAAGGAGACCCCAGATAATCATTCCTTTTCTAGTCTACACACATTACCTACATTCAAATCATCTCCGCCATGTGTTACCTACATTTAAATTCCTTGAATAAATTACCTACCTAATCTGTCTGATTACCAGCCCTGGAGCGGTGTCACCTGTGCAATATAGTAGCAATGCCCAGCTATAAGTAAGTTTTACAAAGGAACGGTACACCCAGGGAAGTAGTTAAAAATAAAACACATACGTACACTTCATCATACAAAAAACTTTACACGGAGACACGAAAATGTACAAGAGGAAGCACAATGACAACACATGCAAGGAAGTACATTTCTTCTACTTAAACAAAAAATATTCCTTACATACGATATAACACTCACCTCACGTAACAGTCGCATTGTTGACAGACTTGTTCGAAACCCTCACATAGGGCAAACAGAAACACGAAGATCAGTCCCTTTAGTACAGCCATGACGGAAAGTAAAATGTAGGGGCGACCCGGGGGACGGGACGGCCATCAAACAGTTACCCTCGGGTTGTCAGGACAATAACAACACAGTCCATATCTGCTCACACCTGTGAGATCTTCACCTTACATTGCCACGATTAAGCTGAACAGTGTTTTGACGTGTATCACTCTCGTTAGTCCGTGGTCGCTTGTTGTAGATCTTACGATCCACAAGTGGTTGTACCGCGAGGGCCCGCCCCCACGTGCCGCCGACAAATCAGAGTCTAGCTCTGACACGCGAGTACACATCAGGCTGTCACTGACACCATCTCAATGGGCGTGCCAAATCTAGAGCCCCCACGACATTTATCTCAGTACCAAGAAAGTTTAGTAATCTGTCGTTGATAGTATAGCGTTTCCATTGGTAAAATTATGACAGCCTTGTGGAGTTATTTACCCATCGTAGTTAGAGTCAGGAAAATAACAAGCAGTACAGCCTTAATATGTTAGTTACCTGTCGTAATTAGTACAACCTAAACGAGTTAGTTACCTGTCGTAATTAGTACAACCTAAACGAGTTAGCTACCTGTCGTAATTAGTACAACCTAAACGAGTTAGCTACCTGTCGTAATTAGTACAACCTAAACGAGTTAGCTACCTGTCGTAATTAGTACAACCTAAACGAGTTAGCTACCTGTCGTAATTAGTACAACCTAAACGAGTTAGCTACCTGTCGTAATTAGTACAACCTAAACGAGTTAGCTACCTGTCGTAATTAGTACAACTTAAACGAGTTAGCTACCTGTCGTAATTAGTACAACCTAAACGAGTTAGCTACCTGTCGTAATTAGTACAACCTAAACGAGTTAGCTACCTGTCGTAATTAGTACAACCTAAACGAGTTAGCTACCTGTCGTAATTAGTACAACCTAAACGAGTTAGTTACCTGTCGTAATAAGTACAACCTAAACGAGTTAGTTACCTGTCGTAATTAGTACAACCTAAACGAGTTAGCTACCTGTCGTAATTAGTACAACCTAAACGAGTTAGCTACCTGTCGTAATTAGTACAACCTAAACGAGTTAGTTACCTGTCGTAATTAGTACAGCCTGAACGAGCTAGTTACCTGTCGTAATTAGTACAGCCTTAATGACAGTACCAGTACTACGATAGGTAACTAACTCATTAGGACTGTACCAGTACTATGACAGGAAACTAGTACAGCCATTAATGACAGTACCAGTACAGTACTACGATAGGTAACTAACCCATCAAGACAGTACCAGTACTACGATAGGTAACTAACTCATTAGGACTGTACCAGTACTATGACAGGAAACTAACCCATTAGGACAGTACCAGTACTGATAGGTAACTAACCCATCAAGACAGTACCAGTACTGATAGGTAACTAACCCATCAAGACAGTACCAGTACTACGATAGGTAACTAACTCATTAGGACAGTACCAGTACTATGACAGGTAACTAACCCATTAGGACAGTACCAGTACTATGACAGGAAACTAACCCATTAGGACAGTACCAGTACTGATAGGTAACTAACCCATCAAGACAGTACCAGTACTATGACAGGTAACTAACCCATCAAGACAGTACCAGTACTATGACAGGAAACTAACCCATTAGGACAGTACCAGTACTGATAGGTAACTAACCCATCAAGACAGTACCAGTACTATGACAGGTAACTAACCCATCAAGACAGTACCAGTACTATGACAGGAAACTAACCCATTAGGACAGTACCAGTACTGATAGGTAACTAACCCATCACGACAGTACCAGTACTATGACAGGTAACTAACCCATTAGGACAGTACCAGTACTATGACAGGTAACTAACCCATTTGGACAGTACCAGTACTACGATAGGTAACTAACCCATTAGGACAGTACCATTACTGACAGGTAACTAACCCATTAGGACAGTACCAGTACTACGATAGGTAACTAACCCATTAGGACAGTACCAGTACTACGATAGGTAACTAACCCATTAGGACAGTACCAGTACTACGATAGGTAACTAACCCATTAGGACAGTACCAGTACTATGACAGTTAACTAACCCATTAGGACAGTACCAGTACTACGATAGGTAACTAACCCATTAGGACAGTACCATTACTGACAGGTAACTAACACATTAGGACAGTACCAGTACCAGGTAACTAACCCATTAGGACAGTACCAGTACTACGATAGGTAACTAACCCATTAGGACAGTACCAGTAACTAACCCATCAAGACAGTACCAGTACTATGACAGGTAAATAACCCATTAGGACAGTACCAGTACTACGATAGGTAACTAACCCATTTGGACAGTACCAGTACTACGACAGGTAACTAACCCATTAGGACAGTACCAGTACTGACAGGTAACTAACCCATTAGGACAGTACCAGTACTACGATAGGTAACTAACCCATTAGGACAGTACCAGTACTACGATAGGTAACTAACCCATTAGGACAGTACCATTACTGACAGGTAACTAACCCATTAGGACAGTACCAGTACTACGATAGGTAACTAACCCATTAGGACAGTACCAGTACTGACAGGTAACTAACCCATTAGGACAGTACCAGTACTACGACAGGTAACTAACCCATTTGGACAGTACCAGTACTACGACAGGTAACTAACTCATTAGGACAGTACCATTACTGACAGGTAACTAACTCATTAGGACTGTATCAGTACTACGACAGGTAACTGACCCATTTGGACAGTACCAGTACTACGACAGTTAACTAACCCATTAGGACAGTACCAGTACTGACATGTAACTAACCCATTAGGACAGTACCAGTACTACGACAGTTAACTAACCCATTAGGACAGTACCAGTACTACGACAGTTAACTAACCCATTAGGACAGTACCATTACTGACAGGTAACTAACCCATTAGGACAGTATCAGTACTGACAGGTAACTAACCCATTAGGACAGTACCATTACTGACAGGTAACTAACCCATTAGGACAGTACCAGTACTATGACAGTTAACTAACCCATTAGGACTGTACCAGTACTATGACAGGTAACTGACCCATTAGGACAGTACCAGTACTGATAGGTAACTAACCCATCAAGACAGTACCAGTACTGACAGGTAACTAACCCATCAAGACAGTACCAGTACTATGACAGGTAACTAACCCATTTGGACAGTACCAGTACTACGATAGGTAACTAACCCATTAGGACAGTACCAGTACTGACAGGTAACTAACCCATTTGGACAGTATCAGTACTATGACAGTTAACTAACTCATTAGAACAGTACCAGTACTGACAGGTAACTAACCCATTAGGACAGTACCAGTACTACGACAGGTAACTAACCCATTTGGACAGTATCAGTACTATGACAGTTAACTAACTCATTAGAACAGTACCAGTACTGACAGGTAACTAACCCATTAGGACAGTACCATTACTGACAGGTAACTAACTCATTAGAACAGTACCAGTACTGACAGGTAACTAACCCATTAGGACAGTACCATTACTGACAGGTAACTAACCCATTAGGACAGTACCAATACTATGACAGGTAACTAACCTTTTAAGACAGTACTGCTACTACGATTTCCTAAGACGTTACACTTGTAATAATTGCATCGGACATTTGCTATTCATAAATAGGTACTGACCACTCTGTATGTACAGCAATGGTAGTGCACGACATACTGTTCCTAAGATGTTTAAGGTGTTGGTGTTGATCACTAAACTGACCACAACTTACATAACATGTCCCTAAATCTTTGAACGGTTGTGGTTTGGCAGGGTAACTTGCTGTCATTAAATTCTCGTGCAGAAGTGCTCTAACAAGCATTCTAGTAGATGATGGGGCGAATTGCCAAGCTGTTGGGAGATCAAAATGTTTCGGTGAATCCCCGAGATCAGATTGGTCATGCCTTGCGATACGTTATCGTTCCTGAAGATGGTAATGTATACTGTGTACAGAGCCGGTCACGCCTGGCCTGAACTATGCCGCTGTGAAATTATACACGCCTGTATTTACTTTGAGGATACGTTCGATAAGGACAAGAAACAGAATGTTAATTGGGGGATGATAGCTGTATAATGCCTACATACTTTTGATGGGTGTAAGTAGAACTGGGGCTCGGGGTATAGCTGATGACCCCTGTAAGTGAGACTGACGCCGCCCTGCCGCCGAGGCCAAACACCGCATGTGTCGTCTACTACACACCTCCTCCACTATTGTCAAAAGAAAAAGGAAGTGAATGATTTTAACCTCTGTAGCAGCATGGGCTGTGTCCCTACAAATTACATGATGGTAGGATATTTTATCCTGGTGAAACGATTCTTAAATCTTAATGGGCCTATCAACACGGTAACAGCCACTCGGACAAAATAAAAACATCCAACAAACGAACAATATCAAAAACAGCCGTAAAAACAACCATGAGACCGTAGGTAACACAGTCATTATAAAGTAGGAAAGACAGACATGATACAGTAGATAACACAGACATGATACAGTAGGTACAGCAATGATACAGTAGATAACACAGACATGATACAGCAGGTAATACAGACATGATACGGCAGGTAAAACAGACATGATACAGTAGGTAACACAGACATGATACAGTAGGTAAAACAGTCATGATACAGTAGGTAACACAGCCATGATTCAGTAGGTAAAACAGTCATGATACAGTAGGTAAAACAGTCTATACCGTAGGTAAAACAACCACGATACAGTAGGTAACACAGCCATGATACAATAGGTAAAACAGACATGATACAGTAGGTAAAACAGACATGATACAGTAGCCATAATACAGTAGGTAACACAGACATGATACAGTAGGTAAAACAGACATGATACAGTGATACAGTAGGTAAAACAGCCATGATACAGTAGGTAACACAGACATGAGTACAGACATGATACAGTAGGTAAACAGCCATGATACAATAGGTAAAACAGCCATGATACAGTAGGTAAACACAGACATGAACAGTAGGTAAAAACAGACAGTAGGTAACACAGATAGGTAAGTAGGTAACACAGACATGATACAGTAGGTAAACAGCCATGATACAGTAGGTAAAACAGCCATGATACAGTAGGTAACACAGACATGATAAAGTAGGTAACACAGACATGA